TTTGAATCGGCGGTGTTCCAGGAGATGTGCCAAATACTTGGTATTCGAAAAACCCGAACGACAGCCCTACATCCTCAATGAGATGGTATGGTAGAGCGATTCAACCGGACGCTGGAAGAGCACTTGCGGAGAGTAGTGGGCAAGCATCAGGATGATTGGGATGTGCATATACCGCTTTCCCTGATGGGATATCGGTCTGCCGTGCATGTAACTACAGGGCAAACACCTGCGAAGATACTGTTTGGTAGTGAACTACGGTTGCCCAGTGATTTAAAATTTGGAATAACAGGCGATGCGAGAAGAATTGGGAAGGTAATGTCTACCGATCTCGAGGAAGAGCTAAGAGTGGTACATGCTTTTGTGAGACAGCGAACTCAAGTTATGAGTGACAAAATGAAGGCCAGCACGACAAGGCGATGAACTCCGAGGGTCTCCAAAATGGAGATTTAGTGTTGCTGTACAATCCACAACGGAAGAGGGGCTCGTCCCCAAAACTTCAATGTAACTGGGAAGGTCCATACAAGATAATCAAACGACTAAACGACGTAGTGTATCGAATCCAAACCGTTGGGAGTCCAAGAAACAAAATGAAAGTTGTCCACCTTGAGAGGCTTGCTGAGTTTGGAACAGCGAATGTATCTGATCGGGACGATCACACTTAGGTGGAGGGCAGTGTTGCAAAAATGCGAGGCGAACGTCAGGTGAAAGAGAGAAGCCGATACCTAGTACATTCTAAACGAGAACCTTCGATAGCGAACAACTCGATGCTTCTACGCTTTCGTCTGCGAGCAGCCGACTGCTATATAAGGGCGACACTCAGCTGCCAAGTCAAGTTAGTTACAAAGTGAACTCGTTGGCGTTAACATCAGTAAAGTCGTAAAGTAAACACGCTGGAGATTACATTTAAGTAGAGTAAATTGAGAATTGATGAGAGTGATTGTAAATAGTAAAGTGCATTGCAATTGAATTGTGAATTACAGAGTAAATAAAGGACATTAGATAAAATCTTTATAACGAAAGAAACTGCAAATTAAGTTGGCGAGTTTTATTTAACAATCCAGAGATCGTACCCGAAGGATTCAGAAAATCCGATTGCCGACAGCGAACCCAATAGAACTGCTGGTTGAACTTTTCCAGCGTTTTTGTAATGCCTAGGTGCCCTCCACTAGGACCGTTATGAAATTCCTTAAGAACATCCGGAATTCTTAACTTCGGAACTACTATTAGCTTCCGGGAACACTGGCCATCTTCATTTCCCCACACTTTATGCAAACAGCCGGATATCAGCTCTAAACTGTTCCATTGTGCCCAGTATGCCTTCGCGATAGGACTTTCCGCAGCCATTTGTTCATTACTTGGTCGTCTATTTACCTCCAACCCGTGCATTAATAATTCTAAATCTGGATCTTCTTGCTGTCATTTTCTTAAGTTACTTGCGTCCCACTCTTCTGCTTGCGTAACTTTCATCAGCCGGACATCTATTATGTTTTCCTTACCCTCAGCTATTGAACAATGTTTCCATTCCATATCACATGGTCGACGGTGCTCGATTGTGATGTCATTATTTGGGAAATTGATGTGCGAAGTGACCAGGCTTTCCACATTTAAAGCATTTTCCCGCTTGAGTCTTGAAACCAGAACGATATATCTCTTCTAGCCATTTCAGAGTTCTCAATATTTCCGTCATCACATCTGGTGTTCCAACCTCCACTTTAAAGACTTTGTATGATGGTCTGCTTATGAGTGCCGCCGTTTCGCGTGTTTGTGCATACGCAACAGTTTCAGCGAATGTCAACTTTGGATTCGCATATGTCTCTCGCTTGGTGAACACGTCATTTATTCCGCTGACGAATCTTTGTATCTTCACCCTTTTAAGATGCTCACGCGATGTGTCTCCAATGGCTAAATGAGCCAATCTCTCAACTTCCGAAGCATATTCCTGCAGAGATTTCTTGGATTTTTGGTCGCGCTTTTCTAACTCCATCTGGTAAATCTGTCTTCTGTGTCTTTCCAGGGCTCGCATCAATCCGTCGTAATCATTTCTCTCGTTTACGGATATGGTTTGCAACAGTCCGGCTGCAGGTCCTTCCAACGCAACGAATAGTGCAGCTGATTTTTCCTCTATGCTCCAGTTGTTTGTCTCAGCTGTCTTCTCAAATTGGAGCTTAAAGACTTGAAATGTGATTTTCTCGTCAAAAGATGGTGTTTTTACCTTCGGAGCGTTCACTGAAGGAATTGGACGATTCAGCTGCAATTCCCGGAAACGACTTTCCAATGCGTTGACTTTAGTCTCAAATAGATCGTGCCTTTCCTTAAGTTCCGCATTGTTCTTTACCAGATTTTGCTGTATTTGCGCTATTGTTCCTTTCAAGGATGATATCTGCTCCATATGCTCAACTATTTGTGATATAATGTTGGCACTCTGTGCATTCATCTTTTGTGAGATGCTGGCTCTCATTTCAGGCATATTCTGTGCGATGCTGACGTTCATTTTTGTGTCCTGCGCATCGAACTTTTGTGAAATGCTTGCTTCCTGTGCATCCATATTTGTGAGATGCTGGCTCTCATTTCAGACAAATTGTGTTAGATCGCAGTCAATAACATGTTCATGTCAATACCCTTAGATGAACCAGGAGCTTTTTCTTGAATCTTACTTAATGGTGATTCCAACTCCTTCACAGAATCATCAGCCTCTTCCTTGTCAATTTCCTTGAAAGATACATCTTCATCCTCGCGATGGAACTCGTACTGGTTCAAGTCGATGCCTTCAACTTCCATTGCTTCTCGCAGTCTCGATTGCAGCCCGCTTTGCCAACTCCCTCTTGAGAGGAGGTATCGTCAAATCCTGAATCTTTACCATTTTGCGAATATTATCCTTTGGGATTTATTTAACAATTCCACTTCTGACACCAATTGTTACGATTTCGCTAAATCAACCTCGAAGATTTTCTGAATACTGCGGGTACGATCTCTGGATTGTTAAATAAAAATCGCCAACTTAATTTGCAGTTTCTTTTGTTACAAAGAATTTATCTAATGTCCTTTATTTACTCAGCAATTCACAATTCAATTACAATGCACCACATTTGCAAAAACTTTCACAACTTACTTAACTTAAATGTAATCTTCAACGCGTTTACTTAACGACTCAAATAGTTTATCCGCTACACTCTATGTTGTGGTAAACGAGTTCACTTCGTAACTAACTTACTTGGCAGCTGAGTGTCGCCCTTATATAGAAGTCGGCTGCTCGTAGACGAAAGTGTAGAATAATCGAGTTGTTCGCTATCGAAGTTTCTCGTTTTATCGTTCTAGAATGTACTAGTTATCGGCTTCTCTCTTTTGTCTGACATTCGCCTCACATTTTAGCCACAATAAAATAGTATTCCGGTCTTGACTGTAACATAAATTTTTGAATGGTAAATATGTAACGCACTGCCTATTTGGCTGCGTTGAGTCAAAGGCGAATTTATAGGGAGAGAACGTGCCGTAGACAAATAACTTTTTTTTGCAGAAATATGATGAAGAACTTTTTATTCGTATATTTCATCTTTCCAAAATGAGGAGCCTACAGTTAATACTCAGCCGAATGGCTGATAGGTTTTATGAGGTGTCCACATTTTCTGTCCTGGTTGTACCAGGATTTGAACATCCTTCCGACTGACAGTATGCCATGTTCACCATTCGGCTAACGAGAGGTGTTAAGTTCAAAATCAACCGTTCATAATCATAAACGTCGCCTGGACTGGTAAAC